AACGGAGAACTTTTTTCCTTTTTCGGATACTATGCAAAAGTCAAGTGATGCCCGGTCAGCTATTTAAAACCAAATTTTACACTCATTTCAATACTTTTACAATGTAGTAATCGCTTTGTGATGGCTGCACGCAATAACCCTTTAAATCTTAATTTCAGTATGCATATTCTCCATACTGTTCTCTTTACATTTCCTAAGGCGCTGACGAGGAAAATTTGTTTAACAATCAAGAGCTTCTTTAGTCGGTGATTATTTCCTTTAATCTTGTCACCCTAATACTTGACCCGGGGCTGACATCGTAAGGAGAGATTAAATGCTAGTCATAGGCGCGCCTTGAAGCACCTATAAGTTACTAAGCGAAACAAACTTGTCAGAAACGCCTTGTAAAACCTTCACATAAAAATTATAAAAAAGAATCTGTGAAGTTCATTTTAGAGAGAAATTATACAAGCAAAGGTTTGTGCGAAAAAACTTTTATAACAATTTCTTTCGTTCTTTATTGGAGCCTACAATGTTAGATCAACAAACACCTGAAAGCGATTAAAATGCACAATTTCCTTGCTTGTTTTCCAAAGGATTATTACATCACTTTATACCTTTTAGATTGCGAGTGAGAAAAAACTACTTCAATCTAAGTTGGTAAATTCTGTCAATCTTGAGTTGAGCTAAAACCGAAAGCTTTAGGAAGATCATTGTTACAAATTCGGCGATTTACATGGAGAGACAGCAATCGATGATGGTTGTAAACTGTAATCCACAAATTCACAGACTTATAAAGCCCGAATCAGTCTCTTAAGTAGACGCTACCATATCAATAAATTGAGAACTAAAGTTCGTTATTTAGCTTCATTCTTACCTCAATCTTTGACGATTGCTGTGAATCAAAACGGAACTCGCTTTACAAGGAAGTTTTCGCCAAAATTAACGAAGACAGTCTGAATACAAAATATTTCTTGACAGCGTTAAATGGGTTCACGAGCGTTACCAACCATTGCAATTTCATTCCACAGAAAAGTTCTCTTTCCCTTCAAGACACTCGTCGTTCAAATTTCATTAACTATTAGCTCCTCGAATCCTAAAAAAATTGTTGTTGCTGGGCAGTCTTTTGCTCTGATGAGCAGTAAACAGTCGCTAACAGTGAAAAAACGCAAAATTCGTTCACCCGTAAAATTTGTAAACAAACCACTGTAGAGATGTAAATTTACTTCAATAAATCGGCGTGCCAGCCAAGCGTTCTGTCTTGAGCAAACAAAACAAAGTTATTTGATAATGGGATAATTTTAGAAACTGGAAAAAACGCTTTAATAATTAATACCTACATAACTGAAGTAAGCGGGCTCGCTGATAATTTAACGAAGCGTAGACCTTGCGAACTTTTGTGACTTCATTAAAAGTTTCGCACATGTACACTGAGTATTAAGGCGAGAAAAAGTTCGGTCGAAAAATAAAAAGCAGTGCAAGAATTTCTTTTCAGTTGCTTTCATTTGAATTGTCCAGAGGTTTCAATAACAGCCGTGTTTGAGCTTCGCCTTACGGCCTCAACACCATCAGTAGCCGATTACGGAAAAAGTTTTTGAAGCTTCACCCAAACTTCATGGTTAAACCACTTCGTACAGCAGGATTAAAACGCATCACATGAAATTTCTGAATTCATGTGGTTTTTGCTACTTGCAAAGTATAACTGTTTAAAGGCAATGGTCACACACTGGAGTTGAAGTAACAGTTCAAATCACTATTATAAGTAACCATCGGCATAACAAAAATACCACATCATTAGCTTTAATTTAAATGGTGAACACACCAGGGTTTCATTCACAGACTTTAAAGTAAAGAACCTTCTTGATGAGCTTAATATAAAACAGTAGCGCATGAATGTTTACACCTCCTCGTTCTAGGCAACAGCTCTTCAACTCTTTAAACCATGAGAGAGACTAGCATCTAATTTCTCCTTACAGTATCACCCCTGAATCACACACAAAGGTGACGAGAAAAAAGATAATGATCACCAACTAAAGAAGCTCTTGATTGTTAAACAAATTCTCCTTGTCAGCGCCTTAGGAAAAGTATAGAGAACAGTAGGGAAAAAAAGCCTACACTTTTCAGGGGGCAAAGGGTTTAACTAAAACTAACCTTTCTTAGTCTGGACAGCCTGTTCTTCTACTTCCAGCCTCTTCAGTTTACTCTCTGCTTCCTTCACCTCCTCGCCCTGCCGCCTATGACGCAGCGCTCCCTCGATCCGCTTCAATTCCTCTTCTTGCTGTATTTGACGCAGCTTCTCTGCAGCTTCCGCGGCCTTCTGCTCTTCTTCCCTCCTCTTGCGGACAGCGTCTTCCAGAGCCGTTTTCTCCTGTTCTACATTCATCTCGTACATCCGCTTCCACTCCTCCAGTTCTTCCAACTCCTTGGACTGCTCCAAGCTGCCACCTAGAGGAGCAGCGGAATACGATGAATCCTTCTGCACCACAGTCACCATATCCTGCGAAGCAATTCTTTCCAGTTCATCTTTCTTCTTTCTCTCCTCCAGCTCCCTCTCACGCCGAATCATTTCTTCCTCAAATAATCTTTCTTTTTCCAACAATTCTTCCTGTTTTCGACGATAAGCTTGAAGCAGAACTTCAGCTTCTTCGTCTGCAGTTCTTTGCTTGTGAAGAAGGTCTTCGGCTTCTTTAGAGCGCTGTTCCTCCAAAGCAGTCCTTTCCCTTTTCAACCTCTCCTCGTACTCTCTCTTCTGCCGTTCCATCTCTTCCTCTTTGAGTCGCATTTGCCTCTCAAGTTCCTGTTCTTTTTGTAATTCGAACATACGCATTTCTTGCTCATTCTGTTCTTTAATCCTGTGCACTTCTTCCTCTCGCTTCCGACGTTCGTCTTCTTGTTGCAACTGTAGCTGCCGTTTTTCTTCTTCCTTCCGCAGCAGTTCACGTTCTAGTTTCTCTTCTTTTTCCCTCTCGCGTCTTCTTGCCTCTTCCTCCTTTTCTCTTCTTAATCTTGTTTCCTCTTCTTCCCTTTCCCTCCGGCGTTTCTCTTCTTCTCTGCGCCTCCTCTCATTTTCTTCCTCCTCTCTTCGCTTCCTCTCATTTTCTTCTTCTTCTTCTTCTTCTTCTTCTTTCCTCTTCCTCTCATTCTCTTCTTCCTCCTCTTCCTTTTTCCGCCTTTCCTCCTCTTCCCTTTCTTTCCTTTCCATCTCCATTTCCATTTCCAACTCTGCCTGCAGTTCTCTAGCGAGAGCTTCTTCTTTCTCTTTTCGTTCCTTCTCCCATTGCAACATTCTCTGCTTTTCTTTCTCTCTCTCCAATGCTTCTTGTTCCTGTCTTTCCTTTTCTTTCGCTTTTTCCAACGCTCTCTCTTTCTCCCACTCACCCTCTGATTCCGTGACTTCGGAATCGCTGTCGTTTGCATCAGTGTCACGCGGGGAAGCGGCTACCTTTTTCTGAGGTTTGTTCTCACCCGTAGTCTTTGTAGGCGGAGGGCTTCTCGTACCAAACAAGCTACTGCCCCTTGTGGTATCGGGACCATCAGATGGAAGAAGATCCTTCGAAAAATCGAAGAAAATAAACGAAGTTACAAGTCTATCTCAGGAAAGAAGCATTTACAATGTAAAACTACATTTGCACAGCAGTGCTCTGTAGATTGTTCTGTTTAGAGAACAAAAACGCTTGGTCACAAGGAAGAAGCGAAGGAATAACAAAAGAAAGCGGGGGAAAGTAAAAAAACTTGTAACAAAAGGGACGAAGATAGACAGTAGATAAATACTTCGCACCTTGCATTGTATGGTAACACTCTAGGGTTTAATTAACAGATTTCAAATACATCAGGACTTTGTACACTAAAACAAACAACAATCCATGAAAATACATCGCTATAGTTTAAATCTGAATGGTAACAAATTAGCGTTTCATCCATACATGTAACAACTTAAGAACCACTTTATACAGCATGATAAACAGGAACTTATAAAAGGCTTTATGGTGATATCACACCATTCCAAGTTCGCCCTTTGTGAGTTCGCCCAAAAAGTAAATCCCCACCTTTACCAGTTCGCCCCACCCTCCCCTTAAAAGAAATTATTTTGACTCGTTTCCTTACCACAGAACGTAATCATTTTTTGTCTAAATCATGATATGTTTCGAAAAACAATCAGTTTTACAACGAAACCAGAATAAATTTTTTGGGCGAACTAGTAAAGGTGAAGGCAAACTTGATTTAGTTTAAGGGGCAAACTCGCCAAGGTGGTTTAAACCGTACTTGGAAGGGGGCGAAACCTCCAGTTATCTATGGAAAGTACTGCTAAAAAGCTCTCATTTGAATGTCACACATTAGTGTTTGACCCACAGCTCAACAGCCAACGAAGGATGGAATAAACAATTTAACACTGAATAAATATCCACTCACATCCGAGCTATCCCAGGCGGACTCTTCTGCAAAAAGAGAGAAAAAATAAATAGTTAGCTAGTTGATTGTTAAACAAATTCTCCTTGTAAGGAAATGTGAAGAGAACAGTATGGAGAATATGCGTGTCGATGTTAGAACGTAAAGAGTTAAGGATAAAAGTTAAATGCACGGCTAAAACTAAAAGCAAATTTTGCGACATATTCACGCGCGATAACTTTTTGCATTATGACACTTCTCCCGCGTTTTTCACACCAGCGACATAAAGTAAGAAATGTATCAATTCGCTACACCTTCACTTTGACTTTCGTCCGCAGGTTTAACAGGTTCTTCCGGTTTGTCCCTCTTTTTACCGCTGACTTTCTTCGCAGGCTCGTTGTCCGAAATGCCACTGAGGTCGGGGTCGGAGACGGAGCTGACCGGGCTGCCAAGATCTAAATTCAACTTGGGTGTGGCTAAGAAAAAAATAAACGAGAAGAGCTGATAAGTTCGGTTTTCAATAATTAGAGGAAGTGTTAAAAATAAAATGCATCCTTAGAAGTACAGGCGTGCAGAAAAGGATTCTTTTAAAGTTTATACAGTTGCTTGTTTCGTACCATTTTCTTTCTTTTCTATTCCCACGCTATCTCCCTCTGGTTTCCGAGTCGAGGTCAGCGGTTGAGGTGAGGGCGTAAACCCAGAGCTGGGCCTGGTCAGCGGTTCATTGTCATCGTCATCAAGTGGAGGCTCGCTGAAGGACACATCTTCACCATCATTCTCCTCTCCATCACTCGATGACAAGCTGAAGTCAAGATCGCCTTGTAAAATGTAAAATCAATATGTCAATCAATCGATGTCAATCAGTCAATCAATCAACCAACCAACCGGTCAAACGGTCAGCCTGTCGGTCACTCAGTCAGTCATTCTATCAGACAGTCGGTCACTCAGACAGTCAGTCACTCAGTCAGTCAATCACTCAGACAGTCAGTCAGTCACTCAGTCAGTTAGTCACTCAGACAATCGGTCACTCAGTCACTAAGACAGTCAGTCACTCAGACAGTCAGTCATTTAGACAGTCGGTCAATCAGTCAGTCAGTCAGTCAGTCAGTCGGTCGGTCAGTCGATCACTCAGTCAGTCAGTCACTCAGACAGTCAGTCACTCAGACAGTCAGTCATTCAGACAGTCGGTCAATCAGTCAATCGGTCACTCAGTCAGTCGGTCGGTCAGTCGATCACTCAGTCAGTCAGTCAAATGAATAAAGGGAATGACTGAGTTTCTAAAGAAACTTGTGTGCTGCGTCGGTAGGAAGGTACTGTATAACAAGATAATTTGGATTCATCAACTGAGTTTATAATATAAGTTGGCTACCCAATATAATTTATAATTTATTTATAATATAAGTTTCTAAGCAGACGTTCTGAGAGTTAGACCTTTGTCAGAGTGAACGAGGAAGGGTTAACGCTTGAAAGGTCAGCTTTAAAAAATCTTAACGGAGGCCAAGTTACATAATCAACTCAACTGATGAAAGCAAATTATGTAGTCAGTCAGTAAGTTCGTTGATCAGTTAGACAGTCAGTGAGTTAGTTGGCAAATTAGTCGTTCAAGCAAAGTGTGCATACCACTTGGTTTCACTGATGGCCTCACAGATGTATCTGGTTTTGAAAGCTGAAAATCAACCAAGTGTTATCGTTAATCATCTTAATTTTTCGTGACGACAAGATCCTTTCACCATTCAATATAAATATATATTCTATTGGACGTTTGGGTGCGTAGTATCGCTAGTATTTTTATAAATTATTTGTATTTTGAGTCTGAAAAGCCTTCTAACCTTTGTATTTCCACCACTCAGCGCAGCGAGAACGTCTGTATCAGAGACTGCACCCTAAAACACAATGACAAGAGATAGTCAACCTCTTGCTCTTTCACCCAAAATTTCAAATATTTCGCTAGCTTCGGGAAAACATTAAATTGCGGCTTGAGGAAGTCAAGAGCAGGAAAAATTAAGGCAAGAGCCTACCGTGGGAGGGAACGCAACTTGGTTTAAGCGTGAGAAAACTACTGTATAACCGATGGAGAAACGCAGGAAAACGTGAACATTCGACGTTTCGCGCCCACCAAACCAACCAATGGAATGAGTTTTCTAACAACAACAACAACAACAACAACCTTTATTTATTCTAATTTCGCTTCTTAAGTTTGAAATTGAGAAGCGAAGTCAAGCACTGCAAAACCCAGTCAAAGACTAACACCATAAAACAGGCATCACCGAGGAGTAAACAATTCGCCCGCCATCACTAATATTTGCTTTGGTTTAGCTTGCTATCTGATTGGTCCACAAGCCTTGGGCCATCGCGCCATCCTCCCGACCAATGAAATGCATGAGAAAAAACCAATCGCGACTTGGTCACCTGCGTTTTCCCGCCTTTTTTTGCTTTGAGTTCTAATGGATTCATGATGGCCGTTGTGATTACTGTGGTTTTTGTTTCACGACACTCAATCAAAATGCACCGTTTTACAGAATCATGCCTAATTACCTCCGAGTCTTGCTCCTCCGTCACTCCCTTCGGGGTGGCCTGGAATAATTGAGGCGACTCCTTCACTACTTGCCCTACTCCCCCTGGCGTTGGTAATTTCCTCCTCGTGGGTGTACTCTGTTGGGAAATGGTGGGGCTGCTTGTCGGACTCGCTCCAGCCATCAGCGGTTTCTTGGCTGGAGATGGAGACTGGTTCTCGCCTGTCTTGACAGGAATGCGTGACGGCGCGTTGTTGTCACGTACTGCAGGCTTGGATTCTATCGTAAAATCAAACTTACTCTCATTCTAAAATAGCAATTACCTAATCAACAAGAACGCCGACAACATTTATTTGTGATATGGCTTACTTATACGTACTTTTTTTTTAACATACACGGTGTATTATATTAGACAATCAATAAATACAGTATCTAACAAAAAGCATGCTGAGTGTCAGAGTAGTTTTACACATTAAACCAAAACAATAACATTAATGACTCAGAAATGTTAACTTGAGCTCAACTCACCTTGAATGGGTTCTGATTTGGCAACATTTGTTTTCACAGGAATTCTGCTATTTGCTGGAGAAAGAAATTGCAAAAAAAGGAAAAACACACATACATACATACATACATACATAGGTTAATTGACCACTCCCCATAGGGGCTTTTCAGGGCCAACACCCACCCATCCCACCCAGGGGAGGACATCCACCACACAGTAATCTCGTGCGTGGGAAATTAACGTCTCCTACCCCTAACCCTGCAGGAGACGCGACCTCCATTTATTCGTCCTTATCCGAGAGGACTACAGTATCTATCCATTTCTTGATATTATAGAAAGGTAGCAAATTCTCCTCACTTATTTTAAGACCAGGAGTACTGATAATAATAAAAAACATCAGTCATTTATGCACAATACTAAAATTCTGCGACTTCCGTGGCCTGATAAATCGTATTTTAAATTCCCTGATTTTCCACATTTTCTACGAACCAAACAAATTCTGCCTACTCGCCGATGGAAAATAAATTCTGACAAACAAAAACAGCGGAAATGTTTGGGTACCTCTCATGAGAAATTGCTCCCTGATCATACTTACATTTAGCACTCTGAGTGGAAACATCTGAAGCTGTCCGAGTGACTGGTTTGGATGACTTGTTCAGAGCCGCCAACAAACTTGGCTTGCCTGATCCCGACTAATAACATAAAAACAATCACACAATCACTTCTTAGAGCAATTTCCAATGGAGTGTCGAAAGTTATCTGAAACTACACTGGTCTTGCTTAACTTGGAGGGTCCATGCTCCGATGAGAAGACGACGAATAAATTTCAGCGGAGGGTTAGCCAACGAAAAAAAATAACTGTTTACCTTTGCCCTTGATGCAGGCATGTCGTCATCGTCACCAGACGAGCTCCATGAATCCCCTCCGCCTACTGAGTGGCTGCAAGACAAAATTATTACAGCAATGTTTACTTGAGTGTCGAAATTAATCCGAGTTCGCATTGGTTTTGCTTCATGCCGCTTTGTGATTGGTCCAAAGAACTCGCGTACCCTTGCGACCAATAAGATGCAAAACTTGCCCAAATGGCGATTTGGCGAGCCGCGTTTTCCCGCGCAACAAGCGGTCCGGATAAATGCTGAGCGAAAGTTAAGAAAATCCAAATCCAGACTCAATTCGAGAGAAGTAGGCTGGTAAGATAATCATTATGTTTCTATTGTGTGTCCAACACGTCACCCAGGAAGACTTCAAATGACCGTAGTAAGTCAAAAGGAAATCGAGTCAATTGGAAATTGCTACTCAGTCGTTTTTGCTCACAAGAGTAATTCTCTTCATTGAGTGTCAAAAGTATTCCGGGTTTGCATTGGTTTTGCTTTACTTCGTTCTGTGATTGGTCCTCAAAATCTCGCGCCACTCTCTAAACCAATCAAATTCAAAACTAAACCAATCACGACTTGATTACCAGCATTTTCCCGCGCTTTAGGTGTATTGGTTATTTTTACTTTGACTTCTAATTGGCTCTTTCAGATATTTTCCTTTCTTCTGATTTGGCCGTTGTGAATTCTTCGGTTTTAGTTTTACGACACGCATCGAAAAGTGCTCTAACGTGCGAATCACCGAAGACATTTACGCACGAAAGTCCAGAATACCTAGCAAAAAATTAAAATTCAAGTAGACCGCACAGTAGCGTATGGCCCGATACATTGAAAAAGCAAACTACGGGTAGTAGGTGATAGATCCAATTTTCAAAATAATTTGTACAAGCAACAACACTTATGTCTAAGATAATTCCTGAAGAAATTTTTTTCGATTTAAGTCTCTAGACCTCTCTAGCATTTTAAGGTTACTTCCCATCTTCAGAGGCTGAGAAAATCGTTTTTCTTTTATTTGATTAGATTGAAGCTAGACATTTTACCTAATGTTTACGAAAGAAAAAAATTCGAAATCTCAAAAAGCGTCCGACTTATTTAGGAAAATTTACTTTCAAATAAAAGTTAATAAATCACGAGGGTGTCATCATCTCGTAACGGGGCGAACCCCCTGGAGGAATACTCACGGCAATTTCATGTAATTTGCATATTTAGTTTACATCGCGCACCAGACAAAATTCGGGATCATTCTCGGTGTAAAAACCTGACGAGGTTTTCTTTGTTTCATGAGGTATTGTTTTGCTGTACGCTATTGTTCATAATGTTTCGTTGTCTTTGTTTTACGTCACTCGTGAGCTTCACAGGTTTTTACACCGAGGATGAGCCCAAAATTCACACGTGAAAGTTCTCTGCTGGTGGAAAATCTGTTCTCATGGCAATCGCTTCGAATCGTATGAAACTATGAATAAACCTGCCCGAGAGAACTCATTTCAGCGGTAAGGGTATCACTTGAGCTGTCTATCGATTCGCTGTTTTGCTTTTCACCAGTTTCTCCAGCTTTTCCTTTAATGCCGCGGGTTTTTTCTTTGCCAATTTTGCCCACTACTCAACGTTCAACAGAGCGAGATAAAAAAACGTGACTGCTATGCGATACTTTTCCAGGGAAAATCTTGATGCATTGTCATTGACGCCAGAAGGTCCCGTCTTCCCATTGGTACGTAGTTTCAGGAGGCGAGATAATCTCTTGGTGTGGCGCTAGTTGTCTACAAACCTTTAGGAGCTAAAATCTCGCATTTGATTTTTAAAAGAGGAATACATCCATTTTGAGCGAATTTATAGGGTGTGTAGATTGACCGATTTCCGTGAAATTTCGCCAAATCATTCCTGGGATAATGACGAAGGAAAGTGTGTCAGAAAATTTTGATATTTGAAATATTTTTCACGTTGGGTCCATTTACGCAGCACTTTTCGCATATTTTACGCTACTCTAACTTGAGATGCTGATATCTAGACAACCAATCAGAATATCGGAAAAGCCTGACACACTTCTGTTGATTGATGCCTTGTGAATAAGACTGTGCAGCCATTTTGCTCGTTCTGCGGGATCCGATACCCGATAAATTCAATAGGACCCTCGGTAGTTTCACGCCTTACCGGCTCCTAACACTCCCTAATTGAAAAAATCTCCTAAATTACATTTTTAACCTAAACTGCATTTATTAAGCTTTCTTTTGATGTATACTATGTTATGGTTTTCTTGAAACTAGCGCGCGTACGAATTTTTTCCCGAAGGACAGTCGCGAAGGTGGGAAGTAACCTTAATAGAAAAACTTTTACACGTGAAATTGGACCGAATACAGTTGCAATAGCATGTGTTGAAGAGATGAAAATAATGCTGATGGCCACAAAATGGAATCCAGTTTAGCTAAATTGAAGGTAGCTGGGGTGTAATACTTTATAATCACATGTTATCACTACATTCAGTTGTTGAAAAACTTCTAGTGGTCAACTTTTTGCGAAACACAACATAAATTCAACAACAAATTCACTTCACAAAAAATCACCAGCTGGAAAAAAGGTGTATAATGAAAGATATTTTGAAGCTAAACCCCAGTTTCTGAACAACAAAGGACTTTATAATGACACGATGGATTATAAACTATACACTAGCAGTTGATATAGCATTGTTTTAAGGCTGATAGTTTCGAAAGAAACTGTTTGGGGCTGCGTCGGTCGGAGTAACGAAATAATTTGGATATATCAACAAAGTTGAAATGGTAAATTGGCCACCGTAACGATTACAAAAGCTGACGTTTCGAGCGTTAGCCCTTCGTCGGAGCGACGAAACGAAGGGCTAACGCTCCGACGAAGGGCTAACGCTCGAAACGTCAGCTTTTGTAATCATTACGGTCGCTAATTTACCATTTCAACTTTGTTGATGTATCCAAATTATAGCATTGTTTTACCTGATTCACCTGCTTAGAGCAACATCCTAACAAAAAAAACCCTTTCCACTATGATTCTGGTTTACAACGTTAAGTTTATGATGCTCATTACTCATTCTTGCATATATTAAACAGAGCAGCCTTTCACAGCAGGTGTTTCCTTGTTTTAAGTTTTCTCCATGTAAGCATAATTATATATAACTGGCAGTTATTTTCACCTACACAAGCTTTAGTTACTTGTTGCCACATTAATATATTATATTATATTTGACTTGCTTCATCATAAAGAAAGTACACATTAGCATATAAGTCAAACTATTTTAATTTTGTTTCTCTTTCCAAGTAAGCTTAAAATTCCTAGTCTACCATTTTTCATCAAACTACAACCACACATAGTTATTCAATTATCACAATGAATTTTTTTACTCGCCGTCAATTATGGGTTGAAATGGTGCAAATTAGTATATAAGGCATATACATCTACTTTTAAAAAAAACATGATTGCTTTCTTGATTTTAACCATATGCAAGAAAATTTCCGTAAATTCTGTCCTGTCCTGATTAACAGTATTGCCTGAATTCTGTTCCGAGATAAATTACTCTGTCAATCAAGTGATTAAATCAATCGCTATTAATAATTAACACTTGGTTAAAAATTCATCATCAAAAATAAACTGCACCACTGATTTTTATCTTTAAATCATCACCAAGTTTAGCTCTCAATGAATAGATAAATCATAGACTTAAAAAGGATGTGAGCAAAATCAGTTGCAGTGCTTGAAGTAACTGCCAGTCAATGGATGATGTTCACTCAAAAATAGGTTTTGTTTGGTCAACTCCAGTGTTGGCCCAGACATTTTGTTTGGTTGTTTACGCAATCCATGTAAATATGAATTAAACTGCGAGAGAAGTTCAGGGTTTAAATACCGCTTTATCATTTTTTATGCATTGTACAATAAAACCTGTAGTAAACACACTTATTTTATAAGGGGGAGGGGGGGGGTTGGGAATTATTGAGAAATGACCTTAAGGATGTTGGGTTGTGTTCGGACAAAAATAGGTCTGAACAGATTACTTGACCTTTGCCAGAAAAATATGAGCCTTGAGGTGTACAGTCAAGTAAATTGTTCACTGGAGGCCAGAGAATTCTCTGGATACTGGGCAGAATTCTTGTGCTAAATTTCAATAACTTGCACTATTGTTTCTCAGACATGGGGACTATTTTCTTGTTACTCAAGCAGGGCTTGCAATTAACGGTAACCCGTTAACCAATGGTTAGTCATTTTCAACCTTGGGTTAATAAAAATGTGTCTAACTAACCTGACATGATTAGTAGAATTTTCTTACATATTTAAACATTGGTAGACCTCAGGACAAAGAGCACGTTTATCCGACTCTCAGAGGAATACTTAGAATACTCAAGCTGTTTAATCAACTTATTTAAGCTCTTTTTAGAGAATGTGCTGTAGATGTACTGTTCTTGACTAATCATGGTAAACAAAAGGGAAATAAAATAGGTACATAATTGTCAGCGTTTTTAAGGTCACCATGCAATTTCAGCTACTCTTTAATTTGTCCTAGTCATTATTATCAAAATGTTCAATATTTGAGATATCGTAACTTGTGAGCTTGGATACCAAACTTGATAATTTGTTAGTAAAAAAGATGTCTACTAAACTGAAGGGTTAGTGATCCAAAAGTTAAATTCGAGCCCTGTCACCACTATTTTCCTCCTCCTCTGCTTCCTAAAAACCCTTAAATTGGCTCCATAAATTTAGATTATACTTACTGACTGACAGAATCCTCTTCCTTTGCTGAGGTGCTGTTGTATCCTACATCAAAAGGAAACTTTATAGTAAGGTTTACAACATCAAATACAAATTATGAATAATATTGATAAGGAAAGCTTAAAGCTCTGTTTGATTGTGTAATATCCCAATAAACAACTACATGGAAGATAGACTATGAGCAGTTCCCTNGTCCACTATATTGTAGCCCAGCAACATGTGTTGTAAAATATGTACTTGTTGACTGACTGTGAGGGCTGGGCGAGGAAATATTTGGCTTATAAGGTCATGACATACGGACCCAGTGCAGCGAGGTTCTTGCGCCCTGAATGAGAGCTAAATATTTTCTCATATGGCCCAGCCTAACTCAGTCAACAAGCATTTTATCATAAATGACCACTGACTTAGTTTTGAAAAATTGGAAATCAATTCTGAATCAAGTTTCCAGGCTTGAGTTTTGAGTTTCAACAATTGAGGACCGAGTTTTAAGAATCTAAATCAAGTTTTGAGACACTCCAAAAATTATTGAAAAAAACATGCTGATTCTGGTCTCATGTCATCAATTAGTATAATTTCAGAGCTGAGCAAAGAGTTTCCAGCAATCTCATTGGTCAAGCGGTTCCTTACATGACGCTATATAAACTGCTCCATGCGGTTTATATAAAATGTTAAAATAAAATGTTAATAGATGTTACTAAAATGTTATGATTTTAGAAATTTCTCTTTTGTTCAGCTCTGAAATTATACTAAAACAATTATTCGCCTCAGGTTCAGTGAATATTGTCGAACAATCCCCTCTACTTCATCTCGGGATTATTCAACAATATTCGCCTTCGGCAAATAATTATTAAATAGTGCTATCAAAAAGTACTCAAAAATAAACATAAACATACCTCCCTCGTCAGCAACCGGTCCTCCAAATGAGAAATCCACATCATTTGTTGCCGTTCCAGATCCTAACAAACCTGACATGTCTCCTCTCCTGTCCTGCGCAGCTGCTTTATTTGAAGTTGGAGCCCTTGCTTGATTCTTTGCTTTTTCTTGCTGCTCCTCGTGCTCTTCGATAATGTTTGAAATACTGGTCAGGAGGAGAAAAACATCACCAAAATAAATTTGAGGATAATCAAGAAGGCCCCCCTAGGTAAAATTTTTAATTCAAATATGAAGTTTTGGTTTATTTTAGTATATACATAAAAAAGGACAATTTGTGCAAAATAACATGACTTAATGTACCACAGACCACAACACTTGTCTTTTGACATTCATTTTTTCGGAGATTGACAGGAACATCTCAAAGTTTACTACAGGGGCAACCAAGGGGGGGGGGGGAGTCAAAGAAGCAAATTTTAATCAAGAAAATGAGAGGGCACAGTGTTTGTTTCATTTTGACTTGAGACCATAAAAAACCACCTCCCAGTTAGCTCAATGGATAGAGCACTGGACTGTTGTGCGGGAGGCCGAGGGTTCGAGCCCCGGCTGGACCCACACTCAAGGTCTTAAAACAAGCGAGAAGAATATGCTACCTTTCTATTGAGAAATGGTTAGCTACTCTAGTCTTCTCGGATAGGGACGAATAAATGGAGGTCCTGTCTCCTGCAGGGTTAGGGGTAGGAGACGTTAATTTCCCATGCACAAGATTACTGTGTGATGGATGTCCTTCCCTGGGGTGGTTTCTGGGTGGGAATTGTCCCTGAAAAGCCCCCATGGGGAGTGGTCAATTAACATATGTATATATGTATGTATATATGTATATATGTGTCGTAAAAATGTGTTCAACTTCCTAAATGACTCCTCACACATAGTATTGATTGAAATTAGCAACTAAAACAACAATTCTGAGTTGCTCAAGTTTTTTTCTAGTCACCATGGCCACCAAAACNAGGCTTTTAACAACATTTTCTTTAAAATCCCTTTTCAAAAATTTTCAGCTGAAAACGACTTCAGAACAACATTAACTCATGGTTATTTCATTTTTTTTCTCTTTAGGAGAACACTGATTTTTCTATGGTACCATTATCTTAAGTTGCAAATAGGTATTGTTGAGAAATTTGAACTTGGAGAAAGAGCTGTTTTTAAGTAACGCTATTCGCTTAAGTTGCCAAGTGTTTGATTTGAAGTGATGCTCACTCCAGGGGGCAGGAAGATGAGACCCTGGGAACGAGGTTGTGGTTTCATTTGATCCCATCAAAATCATGATCTGACTAGAAAATCTGGTTTAGTTTGGTTTTAAGCATAAGATCTGGTTTGAAAAATTTGTAGACCTAATGGAAACAAGACAAAAAAATGAAAATGAAACATCAACAACGAACTAGAGCACATGGTCCTACCATTATATCATGATAACTTAACCTGATACTGTACTGGTAGGGCAATACTATGATGTATTGCAATCAACAAAATGGACTATTGGCCTCTGTAGTACACAGAGCCTGGGAAAGTTATTTTAAGACTTTTACATCCGAGCACAGTTGATTTACCTGCCGTGAGCATCAACTTGGTCGATCTGTGCTCCTTCATTAATCAAAAAATTTACAAAATCCAGATTTCCAAGTGAGGCTGACACATGTAGAGGAGTAAAACCTTCCTGAAAAATAGAAAAGATGAGGAGAAAATAAAATATAGAACAAAACAGCTGACGAGCTAAATAATATAACAATTATAGAAACACTATAACTAGTAAAAGTAGTGTCTCATTTAAACCTCACGGCATATGTGTAGGGCCCTGAGTTGTTTGAAGGCCGATAAGTGCTAACCCAGGGTTAGATTTTAACAGACTGAGGTTTCTTTATTCCTTTGTTCAAAAGCCTTTTCAGATTAATTTTCTACTCTTTTTAGAGCTGCATCCACTTGCCAAAATGAAGACGAAAAGAACATGCTGAATTTTTGTTTTAAGCTTTCAGATCTGAAATCAGATCATACACTCATCCTGGATTATCTTAACCCAGCTTTCAATTGAAAAACCTAGCTCAGGAGTTTATCCTGAGCCTAAATACCTTCAACTTCCAACAATTGTGAACTTAAGCCCAAAAGATTAGCCCCCCAGTTAGCTCAATTGATTAGAGCGCTGGATTGTGTTGTGCGGGAGGTCGAGGGTTCGAGCCCCGGCCGGACCAATACTCGTGGTCTTAAAATAAGTGAGGAGAATTTGCTACCTTCCTATAATATCAAGAAATGGATAGATATTCTAGTCTTCTTGGATAAGGACTAAGAAACTGGAGGCCCTGTCTCCTGCAGGGTTAGGGGTAGGAGACATTAATTTCCCATGCATGAGATTACTGTGTGATGGAGGTCCTCCCCTGGGGTGGGATGAGTGGGTTAACTGGGCCCGTAGTAATTGGCGCAAGCTGTTGCAGTGTCCCTGCCTGTCAGTGAATCTAATAAATTAAATTAAATTAAATTAAAATTAAAATTAATATTAAGTTAAAATTAAATTAAAATAAAAT